CTTCAGGTGTGGATGCTTTGCCCCAGAGTTTGGTGTCATCGATTTAGCCAGCTTCCTTACATTTTACATCGAAATAGTGTATTTGTAAAATGTGCCTAGTAGAATTTGAACTTGACCTTGAAGGGAGCTGACTTTTAGGGTTACACAGTCCTTGCCTGACAAGAGAATCTGGATGTATATTAGTCACTTTGAACAGATCTGTATTGATTTAGGAAGCATAAACTAAATTGTGGGTGACTTGCAGAAATTACGGAATGTTCTTCTATTCTTTTCATTTAAGTAAAAATAATGCAGTTTTTTAATTTGGCAGGCAAAAAATAAAGGTGCTCAACTGAATTTCAGACCGTATATTTCTTTGTTTTTTTATCAGATGTCAAAATAATTCTTCACGTGGTTATTGATGGTCTTAAAAAGTAAACTCTAATGCTACTGCTTGTCTATGATAGAATCCCTTAGATCCTAGGCTGAATTTGGTCCTGTTCAATATGTAGATATATAGAAGGATACCAATGTAAGCCAAATAGGCAGAAGCAAAGTCCAGTGATAATTTTCAATAATTTTCTTTTTTGATAGACCCATTGCTCAGAAATCCAGCACTGGATCGGTTCAGAGGTTTCACATTTTCCCATTCCGAAGAAATGTTGAATGTGTTTCACAAAAAGTTTGGTTTGCATAGTTTTCGGACAAATCAGCTGGAGGCCATCAATGCTGCTTTGCTGGGTGAAGACTGTTTTATTTTAATGCCCACTGGTATGTATCTCAGCTGGAAAATGTTTGAAGCTTTATGAGTTTGCACAAACTTGTTATAAATAAGCTGTGCAGATCCAGTTCAGAATTTCTGGCAAGCCTAGTAAACTCCCCATATTTGTGGAAATGGAATCACATTATCAAGCTCCAGAATGTTGTATGCAGGATTACTGATATTTGGTTGACTGGAATTTGTTTATCCTTTGCAGTATTTAAAGCTTTGATTTCTGTAATCAGAGCTTTGCATCCACGCATGCTTGTAAGATTTTAGGTTTTGGAATATCTGTCTGTCACTGGATGAAATGTTTTTGGAAAATGATGATACATAAACATCACTTAAATTACTAAGGCTTTGGATATGTGAATGGAGAGATGATGCTTCCAGGCACAAACCTGGAACTAATTGCACCATAGCAGACATGCCCAAAAAAACTGAGGGTAAATCTCCCACTTGGGGCAGGGCTGCATTACTTCTAGGGACTTGTGTTTTGTGTTTGTAGCTTTTAAAAATCTGGATAGCTGATTTGCTGCAGGTTCACCTGCTTGTGTGCCCATGGCCCTAGGGATCTAGAGTGCATTCCCACTGGTAATAAAGTTGAAGAAAGCAAAACCTTAAATAAGGAAATGGAACTCTAACAATTAACTTTAAAGTATGCATTTCAAGACAACTTACGACTTTTAAAGCAAAAACTTTGTTTTATGTTAAATGTTTAATCCATTTCAAACAGTTTTTTTAGATAGGAAACTCATCAGATTTAACACTAAGTGCGCTATTTAGGTTTTGCTTGTTTCCATTTGCATAATGAAAATGTTTTCATCATCTGGTTTCATTCAGTAACAGACTTACAGCTGCTGTAGGAAAGTGGTTTTTGAAAAACCAAGGCTTTAATTCAAATGAATCGTATTCTGGCCAGTTCTTAGGGCCTTCAGTTTTTGTAAAACTTAATTTGATCACCTAAATTTTGAGGAAAACGTACTAATTTTAATACCTTCTTTCTACCCCTCCCCTACCACAAAATGACGTGTTCTGCATTGCACTTCATACAGGTGGTGGTAAAAGTCTGTGCTATCAGCTACCAGCTTGCGTGTCTCCTGGAGTCACTATTGTAATTTCTCCACTGAGGTCACTAATAGTAGATCAAGTCCAGAAGCTAAATACATTGGATGTAAGTTCAAATAGTTTAACATGTTGTTTCTTTCCAGATAAGAATTGAATGTTTAAAACTCTGAAATGTTACAGGTATATTTTATCTTTTGTTATTTATTTTTTGTGAAGTGTCTGTCTGTTTCAGTGAGCAATTAGTAGACATGCGTATGAGAAATGTCTAGGGAAAGGAAAAGGAGTAGAGGTTTGCAAAATGGGTCATATTCGATTCGGATTTGGCCCAAATCGGGACAGTGATTCAATTCGTTGATTCAGATCACTGTCCGGATTTTGATTCAGCCAAATCCGAATCTGAAGATTGAATGCTGATTCGGAGCATCAGTGATTTGGCCGTAGCCACTGCTTTAAATGTTTTTTCTACGTACCTCGAGGTACCAGGTGCATCTTGTGAAGGTTGCGATGGTGGGGCCGATGGAGCATCCCACAGGAGCACAGGTGGGGGTGTACTTCTGGTCCACTTCCGGGTCCATTGCAGAGATTGTTAAAATTTACTTTTCAAATATGGGTGCCTAAAAAAAATTAATCTGACTTTCCAGAAGAACCAAGTAGCTACAACTCGTGACTTATAATGGTAGTTCTTAATGGGAGAAAAGTACAGCAAAAGCTCTGTTATGCGGCATCCCCTGGGAACAGGGGATGCTGGATAACAAAATACACCGGTTAATTGAGCAGCCCCAGCCGCCACTTCTCACACTGTGTCTGGGGCGTCCCTCTGCCCCTCCTACGGCATCGCTGCCCCTTCCGCTGGGTCCTGTGGGCTCCACGAGACAGGGAGGCAGGTCCCACACAGCCCCGTGCAGCCTGTTATGCCCTTGGGCTATGGAGGCTTGGCTGCTTTGCCCCAAGCCATGGGGGCTTGGAGGAACCGGAAGTGCCATGGTGGGCACTTCCAGTTTCACTTTATCTTACAAGCCAGCATGCCGGTGAGTGGAGCATGCTAGCTTGTAAGATGCTAGATAACAGAACTTTTATTGTATACATGGAAACTGTGTATAGTCACGGTTATATTGCCAAGTACAGCAGAGGACTTGGGGGATTTGCGGATTTTTCTATATTTTTTTTAAATGTGTTGCTGAAATGTTAATGTCAGCTTTTGTTTTTACTGAAGTAGGTTTTTAAAAATGTTTTGGGGGCAAAATCCTTGACCTCAACCACACTCAGGGATGCAAGGGAATGTTTTACAGCTTCCCGATCATAGGGTCAGTCCTAAACCCTAAAGCTGCTCAAAGGTACTCTGCATGCAGTCCCCCAAATTACTGCATGTCATCTGGTGACACCTGCAGCATGCTGTGCCCTGACCACCTTGTGCCAAGCATTCCCTGCTCGCCAACCAACTGCTATGCTGAAGGCTGCAGGTGTTGTGCTGTAAGACACTGAAATTGGATGTCTCATTGCTAGGAACTTGTCCACACTGAGAGAATTTGTAGTTGAGGAGCTGTTACTATCTCTTCCACCATTTGAGCAGTAAATAAGCAGAAGATCTGGGGGCCAGAATTTGGCCTTGTTCAGTAACTTTAAAATTATGTCTGTCTATATCCTTACTTTGAGTCTATCAAATGATGCTGAAATAAGCTGTTGCAATTAACAGGTGCATCTGGTTGCCCCCGTGGTGATAAAAGTTGGCTACATTGCTTAAATTTGAACAGTTTCTGTGCAGTTAGTTTTAGGGATTTAGCTCGCCTATTTCTGCAGAAGCAGGAAGGCACATATTGGTTCACAACAGGTGATGGGTACTCCAAACGTGGCTCTCCGCGCCCCTTCTAAAATGCTTAAAAAGTAGGTCTGTCTAGCACCTAGGTGATAGGAATTCTTTTTTCATAGCAAAGTTTAATCCATTGTTACAATACTGTTGAGGCATAGTTTAATTGCGGCTTTGAGAAGTGGCCTTGACTGCGGCATGATATCACTGGGTATTTGTAGACAGTAACAAGATATTACTTTGATAATGCTCTGAACATTCTCATCCTATGATTTCAAATCATGTTACAAACAGTATGTTACTTAGCCTGTTAACACACCTGCCAGATGAGAAGATATTGTTACAGCTATCTTATTGTGAAAAGAACTCAAATGTAAAAAAAAAAAAAAAAAAAATTATGGCTTT